GTGATATTAGATTTCTCATCTGAGTAAGAATACAGTGGAAAACATTAAAGTATTTAAAGTAAGAAAACTGTCCATGTAGGAATTCTGTACCTGACAAAAATAGCTTTCAAACACTAATGCAAAATAAAAACTTTCTCAGATTGTGAAGCTTAAAAAATGTATCACCAGCAAACCCACACTACAAGAAATGTTAAAAGAAAATCAAACTCAGGGGGAAAATTATACCAGATGGAAAGCTGGATCTACATAAGGGAATGAAGAACACTGTAAATGGTTACTACATGGGCAAATAAATGTTTTCTCTTACTATTTAATTTAAAATACAAAAAAAAAAAAAAAATGGTAGCAGTATATAATGGAATTTATGTCATATTTCAAAGTGAAATGCAACAATAACATAGCATCTACAAGGAGAGAAATGGAAGTATATTACCATTAGGTTCTTAAACAATAAATGAAATAGTACAGTATCAGTTAAAAGTATGCTGTGATAAGTTAAAGATAAATACTAAAAATCCTGATGCAACCACTGAATGGACAAAACAAGAAGATGTAAGTAAAAAGGCAACAAAGGAGATAAAAATAAAATAATTTAAAAAAATTTTACAGATCCAATTGAAGCAGCAAAAATCAGAAAAAGGGAACAAAGAATAGAAGTGACAAACATAAAACAAAAAGACGTTAGATTCAAACTAACCATAGCAATCATTTCATTAAATGTAAATGGTCCAAGCATATAATTAAAAGTTAGTGATAGACTGGATTTAAACAAACAAAACTCAATTACACACTGTCTATAAGAAATGCACTTTATATGAAGACACAAAGAGGTTAACTAAGAGTAAAGGATGTGAGATTATATACCATGCTAATGCTAGTCAAAAGTCAGCTGCAGCGGTTCTAGCAATGTCAGCTGAATTTCCACTTCTCCTGTTCATGTGGTTTTTTTTATTCCTAGCCCTCTTTTTTTCTTCTGCTCAAATTTTAGCTATTTTAGTGGATCATCAATCAAGTTCAAGATTTTAGTTCTTTTGTAGGTACCTCTTCTGATCACTTCAGATAACAGAGATATCTTTCTCTCCTAAGATATTATATTATTGCCCTGTATCCAATACCTTGTGTATTGAGGGTACATTTCTTTTATTGATGTCTTTTCTTAAAAATGGTTACAATGAGTGTGATTTTTATAAGGAAAGCTGAACAACTCCAGAATTTTTCTAAAGGAAGAGAAGGGGGAATTGAATAGCCTAGGGAGCTGCTCAAGGGTATCCCCTTAACAGGGCTTGACGTATACTCAGGGTGAGTCCAACAGTTCATGCCGTTCTTGTCATTTTCCACCTGAGCAACTCAGGGCCAGGTTGCCCCACAGGGACTAAAGCCAGGGCCGATGGAATACTGGTCTTTGAGTGAAAGTCATGTTGGAGCCTGCCTCCAGAAATCTGTCCAACTTGTTGCTCTGTCCCTGACGGTGACTTTGAATGCAAGAGAGAAAAAACACATAAAGTCAAGTGGTGCAAAGCCTGGAAGGAAATTAGAAAACAGAAGCCAGGCATGGTGCAGAAGAGAGATGTGGGTTGAGGGCACAATCTGGTAAAGAGAAAAGAACATGGCCCTGGCCGGTTTGGCTCAGCGGTTAGAGCGTCGGCCTGCGGTCCTGAGAGACCCGGGTTCGGTTCCTGCTAGGGCACGTACCTCGGTTGCACTTTGTCCCCGGCCCTGGTCGGTTGTGCGGGTGGCAGCCACTCGATGTGTTCCTTTCACATTGATGTTTCTCTCTCTCTCTCTGTTCCTCTCTCTCCCTCCCACTCTACCAGAACAAAAAATGGAAAAATGTCCTCTGGTGAGGATAAAAAAAAAAAAGAGAAGAGAACATGGAAGTCGAATGAAGAAGAGATAGAAAGGGATAGAAGAGGACAGGTGTCACTGTTTGTGTGGGCATGTTGCAAAAGCCTGTCCTCCCAACCTTGCCCCCCAACCCCCGCCAATTCCCCGCCAATTCCTCCTCTAACAGACCCTGCCTCCTGTGCCCAGGAGGGTTCTCAGAAGGGGTATTTCATGTGATAGGTCCAAGAGCTCAGCCCACGTTCCCATAATGCAGAACATGGAGTTCTTGGAACAGCCTGAGCTGGGGACAGCAAGCAGCATAGCCTGCAGTTCTCACAGGCCCAGGGCTCTGCCAGCTCCTGAGGCCCTACTCTTTGACCCTATGAAGGAGAGGCCCCAGGGCCGACTCAAGGCCTTTCAATGAGGTCAGAACCCAGAGAGCCCTTGGGGACAGAATTGATGGAGTTGAGTTTCTTACCTGAAAGATGTGTGAGGTAGTAAAGCAAAAAATGTGCAGGAGTCTGAGAACCAGATGGGGCAGTTCAAATTGTTCCCCAGAAAGACAGCAAATGGACTCATTTGTTTTCCCAGGAGCAGTGCAGAAGGATGTCCACTTTCCAGCACCTATGCCAGCACTGTGTTATTTTTTTTAAACCTTATTTCTGCCGATTGGGCATGTAAAAAATGATATTACATTTTTGAAATCTATATTACCTTTAGTAAGAAAACAGTTCCCAAATGTTTAATGACTATTTTTTCTTTTGTTAATTTTCTGTTTGTGTTGCTTGCTTATTTTTTCTGTGTGTTCACTTTTATCTTATTAAACTGACAGGCCTCTTTATATATTAAAGATATCAATTCTTTGTCAGCCATATATGTATTGCAAATGTTGCTCTTCAGTTGTGTACTTAACAGAGTGCCCTGATCTAATAATGATAAAAATAATAATGACCGCCACCATTCCATCCTCAAAACAATCCTGCGAGATGGAGTTCATTCAGGAGCATACCACCATTACCTTTCTGTATAGCTATGGCCAAGTTTGCTTCTTCCTATTAAATAAAAACGAGTGGCTAAAAGCATGGCCTAAGGAATCAGCGTGTCCTTGTTTCTTCCTGGAGGACATTTTGTGTGACCTTGTACATGACCTAAAGTCTTTGTGCTTCAGTTTTTTCATCACTGAAGTGGGGATAATAATAATCTATCTCTCCTGATGAAGGAAGAAATCTGTACTAAGATCTGAACTAGGCAGGATTTGCTTTTTCTTATATATTACCAAAAACATCCCCAGAACTTGAATAGTTATTGTCTCTGGGCAGACATGCCCAGCATCCAGAGCTGGACTCTATAGAAGGATTCTGCTGTGGGAAAGAAATTATTCAAATCTGAACCAAGAAGAGATGCCTTGGACTGCTCAGCCATGGATAGAGCCCACCTGGTGGCTGGTGAGTGGGTGGTAGCACCAGCCTTGCCACATGGAACTGTCCCTGGAATGGAACTGTGTGAGCCTCCCTCCCTCCCAGGGCCCTGGGTTCTCCTCCAACAGAGAAGAGAACGTTGAGCCCCAGGCATTTCTTTCTATCACTTTCTTCTCTGGCTGCCAAGTGCAAACTGCGTGTAATTACATACCGATTTGGCCAAATTCATAGTGATTGTTTTAACAGCCACCACACTGATAAGGAAAACCCAGGTAAAAGATACACAATTATCTGCCCTCATGCTGCATGTTGGTTGATTGTCAGAGTTTTGCAGGTTTGATAGAATGAGAATTCTGCACCAAATGTGAAAAACATTACAAAAATTGATATATAAAGAGTGATGTACAACAAGTATCGCAGTGATGTAACATTCATTCTCATGCATTTATTTAAAATTAGGACATTAAAAAAGAGAGGTCTCAGGATGGAGAATGTAAGGTAAGAAAGCAGGAGTACAAAGGTACACATTAGTGAACAAGATAACTGCCCGTGTTTTAGGTAAAGTGTTGAACCGTAAAGACTTACAAATAAATGATTGGTAATTGAAAAAATTCACTACAACATCAGAAAACAAGATTGAAGACTAATTCTGCCTGACTCTTGACATAGACTTGCTATTTCTCATCTCTCTGCCTCCTCTGTTTCTCTGGGCCTTGCCATCTCTCTGCCCCCAGGAATCAAGAATATACTTGAGTAGACCTGCCGGTTTGGCTCAGCGGTTAGAGCGTCGGCCTGCGGTCCGGAGAGACCCGGGTTCGGTTCCCGCTAAGGGCACGTACTTCGGTTGCAGTTTGTCCCCAGCTCTGGTGGGTTGTGCGGGTGGCAGCCACTCGATGTGTCCCTTTCACATCGATGTTTCTCTCTCTCTCTCTCTCTGTTCCTCTCTCTCCCTCCCACTCTACCTGAACAAAGAATGGAAAAATGTCCTCGGGTGAGGATAAAAAACAAAACAAAACAAAACAAAACAAAAACACAAGAATATACTTGAGTAAAAGTTTTAGTAAGCACTTTATTTCTTCCCTTTGTAGCAACCTGTGATATAGATAAGGACGAGGAAGGAGGAACAAAGATTGCGTAGGGCAGGAGCTGTTGGCTGAGGGCAGCAGATAAGGCAAAGGCTCTTTCCCTTCTGGCCCCTCTGGAGGACACAGACCTCAGGTTGCACAGGTGAGTGTTCACATTTGTGTGCCTGCCTCCACACACACCTTCCTTTGAAGAGAAGCAGTAATAACAGCATCCCCTGTGCTCATTCATGATTCCTCTGAATAATCTCAGCGGCAGTATAATTAATTTTCAATTATCTATATTGGTTTGGGGACTATTTTTCTTAATTCTGTCAAGTTGGGTGAACTCTGTTTCTTGGCTTTATAGCTGAGCTAGGATGAAAATCAGTTTGGTTCAGAGAAAGTGCGTGTGTGTGTGTGTGTGTGTGTGTGTGTGAGAGAGAGAGAGAGAGAGAGAGAGAGAGAAAGGGAAAGTATATGCACTCCAGGATCAGTTACAAATTTTAATCAAATTATCCACAACTTTGGATTTTTTATTCCCCCAGTTAGTAAATAACCAGGAGTTTACTATACTGCTAAAAGTGTAGATGTGAATAACAGAAGGCAATGCACAATAGTGATGATAAGTATGTTCTTCTTTAGATAAGTATGTTCTTCTTTAGATAGACTGTATAGTCTCACAGCCCCATGAGACTTACAATTTAGAGCCACTAACTAACCAGCTCATCAGAGAATGACCTGTTAGCACAGCCAGCATCTTATTTAATGAGGTAACACTGTGGTATTGGCACCTGGGGAATTGTTTGGCCATAGTGAGCTGGCCCATAGCAGGCTTCAGTTCTGGGCTCTCAGAGCAGCTTATGCCAAGATTTCGTCCACGCTTGCAGCTGGGGGCTTTGGGGACCCCGCGGATCACTTCCATGGAGCCAAGAATAAAGTTATTGCTCACCTTACATGACCCATTAGCTTCTAAAACTTTTCTCCAGATCACCATGTCATTGTAACACTCTTTGTCATCACCTGAACTTTTTCCCTTAGGGAAGCTATAATGTAATCTTCTGAATGTCAATAACGAAGACATAACATCCTTGGATGCGTGAAGGCTGGTATTTTTATACAACAGAGTCAAGGGCATTAATACTCCGATGGCCTGTTTTTCTCGGTCACTTTTTGCCATGCTGTATTGCAGCTCTTCCTCGGAAAATTCTTCTTTAATTGTCTCCATTTCGTTTCCTGAAGATCCTACAAGAATCAACCCCAGGCTGAGGAGCAGCAGAGGGGTCTCCATCTCAGATCTAGGATAATCTCTTTTGTAGTGAAAATAAAAAGTAAAAGATAAAAATAAGGAGACTATTAAGAAGATAACTCTCTTTTTCCTTCTCCTCCATGTAACTTAAGACCCCTACATCTGTTCATGGAAGCATGATGATTGAAAAGACAATCAGCTGTGGAGTCAGAAGACCCAGCTTCCAATCCCTGCTTATCCACGAACAATACTCTACCTCATTTATCTAGCCTCAATTTCCCCAAATGAAAAAAAGTAAATGTTAGATTAGATTAGATAATTAGATTAGATAATTAGATAATTATATTAGATATGTCGATAGTGCCCAGAACCAAGTATTTCTCTTCCCTTTTTCCTTATCTGTAATCTCATTGGTAGAGTCTGTAATCTTCAAAATGGGTCACAAGAATCTCACTCCCATGTCCCTCACTATTGCACTGTCTTCTATAGCCTCGCAGAATACCTGGCATGTGGTAGCCACTGGAAGGAAACCACAATGTTAGCCCCCCCCCATTTAATTTCCCCCCAATTCTCACTCATGGGATATCTGTCTTTACCAGTTCCTTTGGCAAAGATGATCCTAGAGAAAGCTTCCAGCTTGTTGCAGGGCAAGAAGTGAAATTGTATCAGTTTCCTGGGAGTATCTGTTATTGGGTTTAACTGAGAGAAGGAGGGGCAAAAAAAGGGGGGGGGTAGGTAACATTGTATGAGATCGAAGGAGGAACCAAGGACATTCTGAAGACTGAACAAAGTGTCCGTTTGGCTGTCAGAATCCCAGGGATCTGGCCAGTACCACTGCTTCCTCTTCTGTGAAATCTTCCCTATTTATTTATATATTAATCCTATGCATAGATTATATTGCATTCACTTTATATGGTCTTTTTTTATTTTTCAATTTGGTTGATACATGTTGGTCCTTTCTACCTTTTATTGAGGCTAAAAATTCCTGCTTCTTTTTATTCTGTGCAGAATCAAACACTGAACTGTGTGTGCACTAGTTTCTCAGCAATGTTTGTTAACAACATAACATGGCTTGACTAGTGTAGAAAATTCTTTACCTGAGGTCAATGCTGGAAAATTCACAATGAGACTCCCAGAAAGAACGATTATTTATGGTGATAATTCTTTCTCTTGTTCTAGAGAGATCTCATTTTTTTCCGCTCCCTTCTAAAAATCTTCTTCCCTTATACTTGTATCTCCTGCATTATCACTCTTATATCCTGATCACTACTCCTTGACCCTTAATCCCTTCAATACATTACTTTTCTAAAACACCACTTGCAATAACACTACTTCAGAACCCTTCAACTATTCCTCATTGCCTACCTGAGGCAATCAAATCCCCTGAGGCCACTTAGTCAAGGCTCTACTTGATCTCGTTTCAACCTGCTTCTGGAGGCTCTTCTCCCATTGTTTTGGTATGTAACCCAGCTCTCACCAAAGCAGTGTGGCCCACTCTCTTTGAATACACTCTATTCCATCTCTCCATTTGTGCTCCTTTCTTGAATGCCTATTCTTTTCTGCCTCTTGAAATCCCTCAAAGCCCAATTCAGATCCCATTTTTTTCTTGGACATATTTTCTCACTACTTAAGTTTACCAAGTCCATTTCTCACTCCTCTGAATGTCTTACTGTCCGATGGCCTGGGGACTGGCGCCAGGCAAAGTGCTCGACCATTGTCTCCTTGCTCAGCCTTGCCTCCCACCCTGAACGGCCTGCCTGGAGCTTGTAGATGAACTCCCATCTTGCTCTTATGGACTCACATTCCAGAGGCTCCATGCATAGCCCCCGCAGGGCCAAACCCTAAGGGACAAATTCCAGCTGCAACAGGCAGATATAAAAGACACAAGCCCCTACATTGAGCGCGGCTTCTAGGACTCGACCCCCGGAGTCTGTGAACCCGCCCGGAGTGCACCCAATAAAGCCTGATCCCTGTTTATTCGGCTGATTGGCTCTCCAGTCTCTTCTCTGTTTTATTCGGCGGCGCCCCTGATTCCTTACACTTACCACTCACTTTTTTCTTTTTCTTTTTATTGTCAACACTATTACAGATGTTCCCTATTTCCCCCGCTTTGCTGTGCCCACCTCTACCCAGCCCCTCCCCACCGGCTTTCACCACACTGTTGCCTGTGTCCACAGGTTATGCAGGTTATACCACTCATTTGACAGTACACATGGACTCGTGTTTTTTATTTATTTCATTTTAAAATGTCCTGTGGGTAAAATGAGAGCAAAGATCCAGTACCAAGAATATATGAGCCTTAATAATTGGGTTGATTGATTACTAATGTATTATTAAGAATTAAGTGAATGTGTTTATGTTTGTGCCTTGAACATAGACTTGGTGCAGCTGGAAGGGAGAAGGGAAGAAGAATTTAGACTGTTTCCTAAACATCAATAGTGAGGTGATAATAGGAAAATAAACAATGAGGAGAAAATATGAACAGTACAGAGATTCCCAGTTTCCCTGAAACATGTATTTCTAAATATGTTTTTATTGATTTTTTTTGCAGAGAGAAAAAGGGAGAGAGAGGAACATTGATTGGCTGACTTCTGCATGCCCCCGACTGGGGATCGAGCCCACAACTGGGGCATGTGCCCTGACCGGGAATCGAACCACGACCTCTCAGTCCATGGGACGATGTGCAATCCACCGAGCCACACTGACCGGGTTGAAACATGTATTTCAAGTGGGCAGAATTCACAGCTACCTGGGTTTGATTTGGGCTACTAGGTGCCCATTAAAAAACAAACAAAAACCCAAACTGCAAATGTCTAAAACATCACAATTCATTTGAATTGGGCTTTGATTTCCTTTAGATAAAAATACTCTGAGGATAATTTCCAGTGGACAGTCTCAGTTACACACTGACACATCAGTGGGAATGCATTTATCTGCAAGATTTTGTTTTTAATTAGTAGGAGGGAGTTTAGGAGAGAAAAGGAAGAAAAATCACTGGAAGGACAGGAAAGCCTAGGGAGAGGACTAGGAAAAGGAATCAGAATGCAGATAGAAACAGGGGCTGTATGGACACATTTTAGCTACTTTAACGTTGAGCCCAGGAAATGATGCTGCTATGAAGACCCAGCAAGTCATATACCAGGGACCCCCTGTTCCTGCTCAGCATCTTCAGATGCTGAGGGCTCTGGTCCCTTGGTGGCATCCAAACTTCCATGAAGACAACAGTGACAATGAGGTTCCCACAGAGAAATGGGTAATGGAACTCAACTGCAAAAAGAGCCACCCAGATGGGTAAGCCTTGCCCACTTGCAAGGTTGCAACATGTCCTTCACTCTACGCCTTTGTCACCCTCCTCCTTCCATCATCGAATCAATCAGTTAGAATTCGAGGCTTACAAAAGAGTTAGCAACTAGCATAGGTGTACCTCCTTTTTAGATCTGACCTTGAATTATATACAAATAATTAATGCAATAGTTGAAGTCTCTCAACTGAAAAGATCAGAACAGAATGGACCGTCTGAGGCTCAGGCATTGCTGGTGCCTGCTCAGCTCACTGTGTGTTTCCGGCTCTCACTCACAGGATTGGAATGCCATCGTCCAGAATTAGTTTTTCCATCACCTGGCACTTAATTGCCAAATACCCCTTCTTTCTTACTGCTCCCCAATACTAACCCTCCCCTCCAACAAGGCTAATTTCTGTACCACTACGAAATAGAATCGTGGTGTAAAAGGGCCTGCAAAGAACCTCAAAGACTCCGTACTTCAAGCTCTCACTTTACAGATGAGGCAACTAAGGCTCAGAGAGGGATAGGACTTGATTCAATTCTCAGAATTAGGAGCCTCTCTTTCCCTTCCTTTTCTTTCTTTGCCCTCTAACCGTAAAGATGCTCTGCCCATAGTTGAATGGAAAAGAATTAAACCACTTCAGTTGTAAGGACTAACAGGGGAAAAGAAGTAGTAGTCTTGGTCAAAGTCCTTTCTGTTTCTTCTGGGGATGCAAAGAAGAGATACACTGGGCCCTGGAGCCTCATTCTTATCTATTTCTCTCCATAGTCTTCTAGGGAAATAGTTTCTGACCAGTCAGGCTTCTTCTGATATCTTTCCCCCTGTTTTTCAAGGCACAGAGGGGCTGCTAAGCAGGAGCAGAAGCAGCTTGAGGTGTATGTGCCATCTTTGGAGAAAATGCTAGGGGATGACCCTAATTGCTGCTACACTTAGGACCAAGTCTGTGATTAGGGTGAAATGAATGAGGTGCTTGTTCTAGGTACAAAATTTAAGGGGGCACCAAAAAAGCCCAATATCCAAGATGATATTTTAATGCAGCATTTAAAAATAAATTTAACTCAAAACTATCTCTGATGAACAACTATCAAATATTTAAATAACAGGATCTGACTCTGCACGGGCACCACTCATGTACTTCACCTCATCCTAAGTTCAACCCTGTCAGAGTGAGTCCTGTTTTAAAATTCAGGTATTATAGTCATCAGGGATTTTTGCATTAATTTTGTTTTAAAAAATATTATTTATGGGGGTTACTTGGGAGGATGCCCCTTAAAATTTGCATGTAAAATGAGTGCCTCACTGACCTTATACTAATCATTTGATGAGAGCCAGTCCTGGCTCTCATCAAATGATTCAAAGACATGAAACAGGAAATTGAAACACATGCATAGTTTATGGTTTAATTCAGTAGATTTTTTTTTTTTTTTAATTGAAGCAGAATGAAAAGATTCCAGCTCAGCAATACTGGAAGGATAAACGAATTACCGGTGGCTACACCTTTCCCTCAAGGCTTCACCCCACGTCCACAGCTCCAGTGTGCGTCAGGGAGAACCAGCCCAGTGCCCCTGAGAGAGGAGAAGAGAGGATCTCAGACCCAGGTGCTGGTCTCAAGTTATTCAATATATTTCTGGAAAGTAACTGGCCCCATCTCATCACAGGTGACCATAATAAATCCCTCTGTGTGGGAGATGTGGTACCTGCAGGCAGGGTATTTGGTACCTCCAATGAGCTTACAGACTGTCATTTTGAACCTTATCTCACTCTGGAAGCATAAAACGCGGGAGTGGTTTTGGCAAGCCATCTTCTTGGGAGAAGTACAAACACTATTGATCTTTCGAGGCCTCTCATGGATGAAGACATGCTCCTTTTTGCAGGTGTTGTCGGGTTCCTTGATGATTCTTTGTAAGATCATGTTGTTGCAGTACCTCACAGGAATGTCGCTCTGAGGGTAGTCCACATGCAACTGCTCTATGGTCGATGCCGCTACTTCCTCATACAGCTCATTTTCCCAGAATAGAATCAGCAGGAAAATTACCACCATTAGTATCATCAGGGGTAAGAGTCCCTTTACATCCTTTGCTTTAATTCCTATAAAGTAAGAGAGACAGAAAATAGCAGAGGGTAATCAAATTCCTCCATCCCCATCCCCTGACTTTGCTCCCTCATCCTCAGAATATTTTATTTCCTTCACTCTGCTAATTAAAATTATGCTTACCCTGTAAGATCCAGCGGGAGGTACAGGTCTCCAAGAAAGCCCTTTCTGACCAATTCAGCTCTCAGAGCTGGACTGTTCTCTTCTTATTCCCATTTGTTTTCCTTCCATCAGCTCCTTGATAGCAGGTATCTGGTCTCCTAGTTCTCCTGAATCCTCCAGAGTGCTTAACACCAAGCTGAACAGACAGAGGTGCTCAAAAGTACCCATGCCTGACTGTTTTATTCCTATTGCTCAATGACTTCCTTCCCATAATTGTCTTAACTCTAATTCCACCCAACTTCACATGCTTTCAGCACTGTTTTCTAATCTGCCCTTCCCAATTCCTTCCCAGTTCTCCTTCTGTCAATCCCAATCAGCCCCGTGTCAGCTCCTCTTACCTTTCCTTCTTGCTGTAGCTTTCACAAGTAACATATCCTTGTGATCATGGGTCTGAGAAAGTCCTCTGTGCCGCACTGTTCTCTGAGAATAACTGGAAGGGAGCCACTTGCGTGTGGGGAGGGCCAGAGTGGAAGGAGCAGAAAGGGAGGGGCCTGTCGGGGAGTGTGTTTGGGTGCCATTGGGAAGGAAGAGATGTTACCTTCAGAGGGAGAGTTGGGTAAGGCAGTTCTTGAAAATGTCCTCATTAAACAAGTGTAGACTTTTCAAAACATTTAGTTAAGTCCTGAGATGTGCCAGACACACTAGTGTCTATTTTCCAAATTTTCAGCCATTCCTTACTCTGACTATTATCTCCATTTCCTTCATGGAGAAATGAATTGCAGAACAGCTCAAATGGAGATGGGAGATGACAAGAATAATGAGTCTCACCTTCTCCATGTTTGACACTTGAACTCTAGTTTCAGCAGGTTTTATTTCCACATGGTGTTCAGGACAAGGCAGAATAAGTCCCTGACATTAACATTAGTCTTGTTAAAGCCCTGGAAAATATGGCAGTGGTTCCTAAACTCTGCTGAATATTGGAATCACCTGGGCGTTTTTTGTTGTTTTTTGTTAATCCTCACCCAAGGATATTTTTTCCCATTGATTTTTTAGATAGAGTGGAAGAGAGAGAAACATCAATGTGAGAAGAGACACATCGACCCTGACGGGGGCCAGTGATCAAACCTGCAACCCAGACACATGTCCTGGGCGGGGAATCGAACCCATGACCCTTTGGCCCATAGGCCGACACTCTAACCACTGAGCCAAACTGGCACCTAGGCATTTTCATTTTTATTATTTATTTATTTTAAAAATATGTTTTTGTTGATTTTTTTTTTTATCCTCACCCGAGGATATTTTTCCATTTTTTATACAGATAGAGTGGGAGGGAGAGAGAGAGAAACATCGACGTGAAGGGACACATCGAGTGGCTGCCACCCGCGTGAGGGACAAACTGCAACCGAAGTACGTGCCCTTAGCGGGAACCGAACCCGGGTCTCTCCAGACCGCAGGCCGACGCTCTAACCGCTGAGCCAAACTGGCCAGGACTTTTTGTTGATTTTTTTTTAGAGCGAAAGGAAGGGAGAGAGAGATGGAAACATCAGTGTGAGACACGTTAATTGGCTGCCTCCTGCGCACCCTCTACTGGGATGAAGCCTGCAACCCAGGCATGTGCCCTGACTGGAACTTGAACCAGGACCTCTCAGTTCATGGGACTACACTCAATCCACTGAGCCACACTGGCCAGCCTCTAGGCATGTTTAAATGCTGCCTTGAGTCATACTGTTTTAATTGGTATTGGGGGTGACCTGGGTTTTGGATTACTAAAGTCTCTTTCAATTATTTCAATATGCAGCAAAATTTGGGAACTACTGAACTATGGTAAACATTGGAGACCTATATGGAAAATTAGTGGATGAGGGCTTGGTGAAAGATGTAGGTATTGAGATAATAGAATTATTTTTTGCTATCATCTCCTGGTGATTTCATATAGGAATAGGAAAACAGCCTTAATTTTACCACTTCTTGCTCTGAAATGACTTATCTTATGAAGAGATAGCTATGTAGTTTCCTCTCTATTTATCTGTGTCTTTCTAATTGATAAGAAGAAAAACATTTTGGGGTGAAAAATGGTCTAGGAAGGACAGAGAATCCTGGAAAAGGCTTCAAAAAATGTGTCTCTTTCTATACAACAAAACCATTATTCCAGACCATGAAAATGAACGACCAAGATGTTATTATTTACTTTCTAAAACCTTGCACTCTAGGTGTCTTTTCAGAATTGAGACTGCCCTATTTTGGATATGTGTTGCTCAATGCCACAAAGATATACGTACAAAATTAGTTATTGATGAATTGGCCAATTCATAAAATTTGCACACCGTCTTGCAGAAACATTTTCATTGTATAAAGAGAAACCTATCCAAAGAGATTATCATTACATAGTTCCCAAATGACTGTTAAGGACAGAAAACTCAAAATAGCAGTAGTCTGAAGAAGATGGAACTTTATGTCTCAGGATTGACCAGGTGTGTCAAGGTTCTGACTTCTGTCTCAGCCTGTGGCTTCCATGTTACAACCCAGGTGGCTGTTCTGGCCCCAGCCATTACATCTGCAATCCAGCCAGCAGGGAGAAGAAAGGTACAAAAAAGAGTGGCACTGCCTTCTAAGGACACATCCGAGTTTCACAAATCATTTCCACTTACATCTCACTGGCAATAGTTTGGTCACATAGTCACATCTCACTGCAAGGGACACGGGGAAGCATAGGGTTCGTTCTGGGTGGGCATGGGCCTCGCTAAAATGCTGGTTTCCGATTACAGACAAAACAGGGGCGAATAACCACTGGAAAACAAGGAGCAACTTTTTTCCTACTTGCCTTCAGGCGAACATTGTTCTGTAAAATGTTACTAAGTGCGCCTCAAGAAAAATGTTTCATGGTCAAAAGTTTGAGAAACACTGTTAATTATATTTCTTGCCTTGAAGAGACGCAAGATCCACAAAGCATGACATTCTGAGAAACCCAGCGACAGAGAAGCTTGAATAATTTCATTTAACTAAGCATTTTACAAATTGATTTGAGCATGGAACTTCACTTACAGGGCACCACTATGGAATTCTACAGGGTTCTACAGAATATCAGTTTGGGAAGTGGGGCAAGAGACTAGGGGCCATAGATGGTACCCAGGCGTCTGGGTGGGAACAAAGAAAACAATAAGCAAAAGGGAATGGAACAACTAAAGAGCCCCAGGCCTTTAAATGTTGGTGATTGCTCTCCCTTTAAAATCTGTATAACAACAATTCAAGCACTATCCTTCATTACCACTAGAATTCTAGGTTTTCCCCAAAATGTTTTAGGAGCTGTCTGAGAAGTGCTTTCATCTCTTGTCCACACTGAATCCTCTCAACTCCTCTGCTCATCCTGGCTCCCTCTCATCCGTGCTTCTCCACAGTGTGGCGGCTGTCTCCGGCCTGCTTCACGCTCCTCCCACAGCCTGGATACTCTCCTCCACATTGAACACAGGATTTGGGGTAGTACAGACTTTCTGAAAAATTTTAATTACAAAAGAGAAAATAAAATCTTAATGATTTACGTATGTTCTACTCTTAGCAGCCATCAGCAAACCCTTTACCAGGACTTCCTTTCGAAGTGTCCCTCTCCTCGGCCATGCTGATGTGGGCTGTGCTTGTTCTCCTTATCATCTGCTTTATAGTTCCTCCTTATATCTCCTCTTTCCCAAGTGCTGGGGTCCAAGAGACCGTGATCGTGCCACAAGAGAGGGTTAGGGGCACTCTTTTTTTTTTTTTTTTTTTAGTTATTGATTGATTTTGGAGAGAGAGAGAGAGAGAGAGAGAGAGAGAGAGAGAGAGAGAGACATTGATTCGTTATTCCATTTGTTTATGCACTCATTGGTTGCTTCTTGTATGTGTGCTGACCAGAGATTGAACCCAAAACCTTGGCATGTTGGGACAATACTCTAACCAACTTAGCTACCCAACCAGGGCCAAGGGCACGCTTCTTGAAGATGCACTTTCTGAGTGTTTTACCCACAATTGAGGTAACGTGAATTGCCCTTCTCAGTGGAAGGAGATTGCAGAGCGTATTGGGAAGGGCTAATGACCTCACTCCCAGCCCTCAACCACTCATCGGTCTGCCACTGCTTGGCTCCCACAGGTTTTTTTTTTTTTTTTTTAAGAATAATTTATTGATTTCTAGAGAGAGAGGAAAGAAGAAGAGAGAAACATCAATGTGAGAGCATAATATCGATTGGCTGCCTCCTGCCCACTGCCACCCACCAGGGATTGAGCCACAACCCCTGACCTGGAATAAAACTGGCAACTTTGCACAGGACAGCACCCAACCAACTGAGCCACACAGGCCAGGGCACAGATTTATGTATGTATATATGTATGTATTTAAGTTTCTAAGTGAAATACATCAGTCTTTGGCTATTAATTAAAAATACAGAAACCTGGGCCTTACCCCAGACCTATCAAATCAGACTCTGGGGCGAGGCCCTGGAATCTGCATTTGTAATCAGTAGCCCATCTCTGGTGATTATAATGCACACTGGAGTTTGGGAATCACCACAATAGATGGGCCCTGAATTGGTAAACAGCATAGTAATTTCTAAAGAGTTGCACCTACCCAACAACAAAACTGACTTTGCCATTCTTTTTTTTTTTTATCCTCACCCGAGGACATTTTCCCATTTTTTTGTTCAGAGTGGGAGGGAGAGAGAGGAACATCGATGTGAAAGGAACATATTGAGTGGCTGCCACCCGCACGACCGGGTGGGGGACAAACTGCAACTGAGGTACGTGCCCTTAGCGGGAACCGAACCTGGGTCTCTCAGGACCGCAGGTCGACACTCTAACCGCTGAGCCAAACCGGCCAGGACAACTTTGCCATTCTTATATGGGAATGAATACTCAACGCCTCGTGTGAAACCCTGCATGGGAATGACTGTCCTGCTTCTGAGCTTCCACACGGTAAAGGTAGGCACTTGCAGGTCCTTGGGGTGCCCCACCCCCTGTCACACATCAGAAGGACCTGCCTCCCAAACACACCATTCACTGGAGGAGGAAGGACTGGTCTGTCTTTCTGAGTTCTAGTCCTTAATTACCTGTGTTCTTTCAGCAATTCTGGAAATCAGCTCACAGGGGAGCCTGGAGATGAGCAGAGAGATCTGGGTTCCACCAGGGAGCGAGGTTCCGGGGCCGGGCAGGGGAGACAGAAGTGAGAATATGTCTGTGGGTCGGGAGGATATGTCTGTGGGTCGGGAGGATATGTCTGTGGGTCGGGAGGATATGTCTGTGGGTCGGGAGGAGGGCCAAGGCAGGGGTGGCCAGCAGAGAAGAAGCTGGGAACACCTTGGATTCAGGAAGGTCCTTTAAAGCAGAAGGTGCTCTTCCCTCCTTCCATTCTCTAACCGTTTCTTCCTACTTCTCTATCACCCAGAAGCTGACTTTTAGCACCTGTCTTAAGACCAAAAGGTTGGAAGTACTTCTAGAACTGTTTAATTGGAATCTCCGCCTCCCCACCACCACCATTCATTTTTACCAAAGA